TAAGAGCTAAGTGGTGGTAAGATTGAATAGAAAAAGGCTATTTCTGGAGACATTTTGAAAGAAAAAAATGGAAAGGCTTGGTGGCATTTTCAGTATGAGTGAATGAGATGAACAGTGTGAAAATAACTTGTTGTTTGAGGTGTTGCAGACAGAAGCAGGGCAGACTTATGGATAGATGCTCCTCTGTAAATGGTATCTTTGGAGATTCAAAGAGAAGGGAATGGTGGAGGAGAAGCTGTAGCCAGGAAGAAACGAAAAAATGCTTGTAAATAGAAGTCAAGGAAACAAGATGTTAGGCAAGAAACAGGTCATGGATAGGTAGAGGCAGGGGAAGGGCCTGTCTCTCTTGACAGATGTGAGAAGTACTGTTGTAGAGACTGATACTAAATCAGTTGTTTGGGGTGTTATAGTGAGTGACTGGTGAAACACTGTTAGCAATGTCCATTGCTCCTTAAAGTTTGAGGAAGATGAGGGTGGAGAAAGGGCCTTTGTGAATGGAATGGTCATTGGTAATCAGAGAATCTCCATGGTTCCAGTAGAGTCTGGTTTTAGGAGAGGAAGATGAAAACAGTAAGTACAGGCCAAATGGAAACACTCGGTTGATAATCAGAAGAAGGGAATTTTTGTCTTGTAGAAATAATGAGTTCAGAAAAAGTGATACAAGGCAGAAAAATTAGAAGCAGAAAGCTGTTATTTTAGGTAAGAGATTATAAGCATATTGAATGTACATATGAACCTATGAGAATCAGAACATGAAATGCAAGTCAGGAAGTGTAGACTCTTGGTGTTAAAAGTGACACAAATAATGACTTTGATAAAACGTTTGTGTTTATGTTGTTGTTGTTTTGTGCTGTCAAGTCGGACCCGACTCATAGGGACCCCTCCTTGGGTTTCCAAGGCAGTATCACTAGGAAGTAGATTGCCCCATCTTCTTCCGAGGAGTGGCTGGTGAGTTTGAACCGCCAGCCTTCTGGTTAGCAGTCAGGTGCCTCAGGCACTACGCTACCAGAGCTCCTTTGTGTTTATAAGGTGTTTCACAAACATCATCGTTGCAGCGCCTTACCAATACCTGTAAGAAGTATGGATTCTGACCACTTCATAATGAGGGAGTTGAGATTCAGGGAGGTCCAAAAGTGTAAGAGGTCCCGAACAGCTATAGTGTGGAGAACATTCTTTCTTCAGAGACTGTAGGTAAGATGAGAGGATGATTATTAGGGCACCAGTATATGTGACATTAAGGCGGCAACAATTGGGAGAGCTGGTTATTTTATGGACTGTAGTCATTGCTTAAGGAGCTCTGGTGACATAGTGCCTAAGGCATTTGAATGCTAACTAGAAGGTTGGTGCTTCAAACCCACCAGCCATTCCATAGAAGGAAGACTAGGCAGTCTACTTGCGTAAAGATTTACTGCCTCGGGAACCCAAAGGGGGTTGCTGTGAGTCGGAATCGACTCAATGGCAGTAAGTTTAGTCAGTGCTTATGCCCCAAACATCCAACAGGCTCTGAAGTGCTAAAAGGGGGCAGGAAGAAAGTGATCCAAGAAAAATTCCCTTTACCTTTCTCTACACGATTAACCTTCCACAATGGGGGATATACTGGGGACTCCCTGAAAACATTGTTGGGAGGAGTGGCACACTCTACCTGCCTAGTGTATTCCTAGGGAGTGTGAGGCCAGGAACTTTCTCAACTATAAATAGAGCCATCATAAATTCTTGGGATTTTTAAATGTGTGCTATATAAAGTGTAGGTAAGAGATGAAGTCTGTCTTCAATCCAACTCCATCCCCACTGAAAGTAGGCCGTCTGTTTAGAGTGTCCATTAGAATTTCATTTGAAGTGCAATTTGGAGTGATCATTAGCACAAAGAAAATTGTATCTGGCTATTAAAATCTCAATATTTAGTGAGTGACGATGGAAATAGAAACACATTTCCATTTCACAGTAATGTGTCAGTGTGAGTACCCAGGTATCACCTCTCTCCCAAAATGGTGCTGTCACACTTCACCCAGGATTCCTTCTGCTAGAATGAAAAGTTGAGTGAGAGAAGGCTCTGTGTAGTAGGGAAGGAAGGATATTGATGACTTAAAGTGAATTAAGGAATCAGAGTGAAGGGGACATTCTAAGGTGAAGGTAGCTGGGATGATATTTTACAAGAGGGAATGACATGAAAAGATAGTTGTAAAACCTTAAAAAGAAATAGAATTGCAACAGCTTAATGGATTCAAAAACTGAAATAATGTTTGCTACAATGCCTAGGGGATACTTAGTTTCTGTTAAGGGTGATGAAAAGTTCAGAAGTAGTGATGGTTGAATCACATTATGGACATATTTCATTATCACTGAACTTGTTTTGTTACCTATATATTTACCACCACAACAAAAAAGACCATTTGCTCATTAATCCAAAAGCTGGGACAGAGTTTGGAAATTTGAGAGCAGCAGGTCCAGGTTGAATAGTTAGTTAGGACAGTTAATGATGACTTTGAGTATGTTTTCAATTCGGCCACTAAACATGGAATTTGCCCTGCTCTCCAATTTCTCTAAAGGGGGCAATTTTAGATAACTAGTTGGCTTTGGATTTTTGTTTTGTGTGTTTAAGAGAAAGCTCTACAGAACTTGGAGTGTCTGCAGATGCAGTGTGGAGGCAGCAGCGACTTTGCTGGGGATGCCGACCACACAGTGCCCACACCGAGTGCCAGGCAGGCCTCTGTGCAGCCTTGTTTGTTGTCAGAGTAAATTTGGTGTCAGCCAAGCTTGTGCAGCTGCTCTCTGCCTCCACAACAGCTGCCAACTGGGAGTAATTTCTGGCTCTTTCCCCAGAGTGTTTCAGGTTGAACCAGAAGCTAGACATTCTGGGGCATGGGCACAATTGGGTAGCAGGATAGAGATTGTTTCGAAAGGAAAAGGGGGTGTGGAGAAGAGAAACTGTTGAGTTCTGCCCACTCACCTACTTCTTCCCTTTCCCATCTGCATCCTGTTCTCTCCCTGTAGTCAAGCTGCCACCCAAGATAAAGCAGCTGCCCTGCCTGAGCCTGAGTAGGGCTTGGGGCAAGGGAGGGGACAAGGGGTGAAGGGAGGGTGGGTACCGATCCTGTTCTGAAGTGGTTCAGCCCCAGCCCATGGGCGTGCCTGGGCTGTGCTGATTTGGTTTGGTTCTTGCCTTCCTTTCCCAAATGCCCATGTACCTTGAGAATCAAAATGTGGTTTGAGGTCCCCGATGGGAAAGATCCTTCTGTAGAGTAGCTTTGAGGGTATGGTTGACCTGCCCTGGGATCTCCCTTTACCCTTGCTGGCTTGGGGCCAGTGCCCATTCATGTTCTGATATAACTCACACAATCCAAACATCAGGGCTCTCATCCTAGAACAATCAGGTCTTTCCCCTGCAGTTTCTAGAGCAACTAAAAACCATCCAAGCTGGGAAACGGCTCTTCCAAACATCGGGAGCTTCTGAGAGCAAGTGAGGGCGCTTTTACTTCCTTGAAGGTAATGCTGCCCTCCTGACGGCATGACTTAGCAAAACTGAACTGTGAGTGAGGATAGTACAGATGGACTTCATAGCCCTGCTTGTTTTGATTTTCGGGGATCCTAACAAAAGACAAAATAAGCATTGAATTTAGTTGGTGATATTGTAGCTCCAAGGTAGTAACATCACTGTTGTTGTTACTCATTCCTCATTTTATTTTTCTATGACTCTTATCTGTTGTCTGCACATTTCCACAACTAGGAAAGATATGTCCATGTGTGTTTGTATTTAGGCACCTCTAGGTGATTAACAAAAAAAGAACAAACCATTAAAACAAAGATTTCATGTTGGTCTTACGTTGTTAACTTCTGTAGCACAATTTTATATCATTCCCTAAAGGATGCTAACTTAAAGGTAAGAGAGGTGTTAGAATGGTGTGGCTATCGTTTTATTTGTCAAGCATAATTAAGTACCCTTAGGCTTTCAGATACAAGGTTAATCTACAGTTCAACATTTGAATCAAATCCAGCATACACACACAAAATTAAAGCCCAAAACCCAGATAACCAAACTGAGAGGAAGCCTGAGAAAGGAAAGGCTGAAAGCATGTCTGTGACTTTCCTGTCAAATCCTCCCTGGGATCATACTGAGAATACAGCCCAATTTTTCTGCCCCTCTTCATGGAAAACAGTGTCTTGCAGGATCCTGTCTCTTAGGACATGAGTCCCTGGTCAGTGCAAACAACTAGCTGTTAACTGAAAGATTGGAGGTTCAAGGCCGCTTGGGAGGCCTCGGTGTGAAGGCCTAGCGATCTGCTTCCACTGACTCGGCCGTTTAGAGCCCTGTGGAGCACGGATCCCCTCTGACAGACGGAGCTGCCATGAGTTGAAATGGTCTTAACAGTTAACTGCTTATCTCTTAGGACGTGTGAGACTGGGATTTTACATTTATATTTCAATGTAGATTGTCCATGAATGACCCTTGAGTTACAATCCTGGTTTTTACTTTCACTGCTCTGGGATGAGAGCAAGAGGTTTTCTACCAAGGTAGTCATGCTCCTGTATTGTTTAATGAGAGCTTGGATTTCAGTCTCAGCCCAGCATCTAAACGGTCTGGATTTCTGCCATCATGCCATTTGGGTTTTACTTTATTTCAATCTTCTGTGGATATTGACCACAGGGTTCTTTAAGGGTAAGATGAAGGGTAGGTATTTTTCTACTCTTTGTGTCTGATGTACTTGTTTTTTATGTGACTTGGAAATAGGAATTGCCACCAGATAATGGCACTGTACTTTACTGGGTCAGGTCAAATAGTTCACCCTTTGCACTTGGAAGTTCTGTTTTTCTGTTTTCTTAGCCTGACACAGCCTCTTAATTAGAATGTGCTGCTAGAGGACAGGGAGCATTGTGTCAAACTTTGTTCATTTTATAAAGAATAATCATAGGCACCAGACAAGTAGCTGTAGTGCCTGCTTATGCAGATGTGGTACTGAAATCCCCCAAAGGGGTACCTTTATTATTTTCTTTCTTTGTTCCAGAAGCAAAGGCCGATAATGAACCGAGCTGCTCACCAGCAACTCAAGAACTGTTGACAAGGCTGGGATTTTTACTGGGAGAAGGGATCCCGAGTGCCACACACATAACCATTGAAGAAAAAAATGAAACCATGGTAATGTCTGAGGGAGAGGCTGCATTTCTTAATTGCCCAGAGTATGAATGAAGTACTAACCTTCTTCTTTCCCTTCTTGAGTAGGGAAAGTCATTGTTTGGACTCACTGAACTTAGATGAGTTCTGGGCTGTTGTGTATTGATATTTATTTCAACAACTTGTTTCTGGATTTTGGAATTGGGAAGGAGGAGAGAAGCAGAAAGGGGCAGAACTTAAGAAAATGTCCAAGTTCACTGTGTCACTACCTAGTCACTACATGGAGAGTAGTGGTTAAATGAATTAAAGCGGCTAAAAGAATTCCTTAGTAATGATGCTACCTTTATAGCACCATTCTTTTCATCTGGCTGCTTTGGTATGTGCTTTCTCATGCTTTTTTTAGCTGTTGAAATTTTGGAGGGTCAGTGGGGTGAGGAGAGATTTATAGGAGACGAGACAGATGATCAAATGCTTCATCATTCGGGAGAGCATTCCCCCAGCCTAGGGTACAGCAATGTGGCCCACACCAGCATCTTCGCAGGTGTGTGCATTTGAATAGCAACAAGAGGCTGGCATATCTGCCCTGGGAGGGTCTCTGCGAGGGTGCCCTGCACTGGTCTGGATTACAGTGGCCACCAGTCTGCTACCCCTGACCGCAGAGCTCATAAATCTTTAGGAATTGAATCAAGTTGCAGTGCTCATGACACATTACCAAAACAGAGTTCCCAGGTTTTCCGTTCAGAGGTCAAATAACCTGTTTGTCTTCTATAGACTTTAAATGAAAGGAAGTCTGCATGTTTGCCATTTCTGTTTTACAATGTGCATTCCCACTAAATTATTTCTGAGACTGCTCTTTCAATAAAAAAAAAAATCACAAAGGGAGGGGAAAAAGAACAAAGGGATTTCTTTTTTAAAATTTGGAAGACCATATGTATATTTAAGCTCCCTAGATTTTGAAAGCTTTTTTCCACTTTCCTTTGTTTAGGTTCATTGTTTTGATGTCAAAAGTAAGAGAATGTGTTGAAGCATCCTGTGTAGACCGTGCTAACTCCTTCTTCCATTCGTCTTGCAGTGCACAGCTCCTAGCCAAGGCATCAGTCCTTGCTCCACACTAACAAGCAGCACCGCATCTCCTAGCACCGATAGCCCCTGCTCCACCTTGAATAGCTGTGTCAGCAAGACGGCAGCCAACAAAAGTCCCTGTGAGACTATTAGCAGCCCTAGTTCCACCCTGGAAAGCAAGGACAGTGGAATTATAGGTAAGAAGCATGCTGTTCGGTAATGGAATGGCTCAGTACACGGCCGCCAAAGCATTAACCAGGCACTTCTCTAAGAGGGTTTGTAGAGTGGTCTGTGAAGGTCGCAATGCCATTGCCTGCCCCTTTTTTTGAAGTCAGCACTGGCTCCGTGTGCAGCTTTGGCTTTTAAATTTCTTGATGTTTATTTTATAACTCTGTGCTCACTGGATAAAACCTTCCTATATCAGAGCTATCCTTTGCAATTCCCTACTCACTAATTAACTTCATTTATTGAGGACAGGGTCCCACTGGGACATGTAGTAGGACAATGAAATACTGCTTATTTAAAAGTCTTCCATACTTCTTCTCAGGATTACTTATTTTTCCCACAGCAGTTCAAGCATTTGCTCTTTAGAGTTTCTTATAATAGGATCTGATCACTGTTGAGGCCAGGATTTCCTAAAGGTGCCCTCCTTGTGGCCACATATACCCCCCTCACTCACGCAAAGGTGAGGTGGTAAAAAGATCAGAGTTGTAGTCCTGACTCTTAGGCTGATTAGCCAGGTGACATGAGCAATGTTAATGGCCTTTTCTGCACACTCCTTTCCTTCTCTATAAGGGTAAGGATTTAGACTAAATCAGTGGTTATCAATCCCAGGTGTGCATTAGAGAATTTTTCAGGGAATGTGTTAAAGAGCCCTTACTTTAGATGGCATTCCAAACAAACTGTGTCCACATTTCTGGAAGTGGGCCTAGGCCTCTGTGTTTAAGTGTCCAGCTTAGTGCCTTTCACAGAATAGACAAGGGTAACTACTGAGTTTGTTGAGGTGTTCCCTGCCTATGTAGTTGTATTGTTACTTAATAGCAGAGCTGTACTGAACCATTCAACTCCATCCATTCTCCTGATACCCACATGTCTGAGGGATATTTTACATTTTATTAGGGACTAAGACCTGACTTACATCACTTAAATAAGTAATCAAATGGAATGGGATTTGAGCTCCTTATTTTCTTTGGTCAGCTGCAATTTCTTTCAAGTATAACTTGAAATGCCAAGTTCTTCAACACTTTTTGTCTGTTCAGTTTGTGCTTTGGAGATTGCCCCAGAAGGTATGTGCGATTCCTGGGAATGAGTTTTGGGCTCTGGTATAGTCCTTGTTGTGACTCCATGGGGGCTGTGCAGCTTCAAGAAGGTGCCCTCTTTTCTCAGTTTTCGTTTTGATTAGGATCTTTAGTGATTCTGAGTTTTTGTCTTAACTACTTTCTTGAGAGATAATTCATATACCACAAGATTTAAACATTTAGAGACCAGGTTTGCTGGTCTGATAAAGCCTGGTGGAACCACTGAGACTAGGGTCCCTAGCTGCCCTTCAGGTCTGGAATTGAACCCACACCTGTGGCTTCTAGCCACATTAAAAGACAGGCATAAGACTTGAACATGTACCTGAGGTAGATACATCCATTGGAGAGAACAGTCATGGGAGAAAGAAGGGCTGTTTATGCACAGGGAGACAATTCAGGGGGCAGGGATGCATGGAGGGATGGACATAGGGAAGAGGTAACTATCGGGAGGAAGTGGGAAGGGAGGTGTTTCATTGGGTGTCATCAGACAATATGTATGTGAACTGCTGTATGGAAAGTGAATTTTCTCTCTAAACTTTCACCCAAATCACAATTTAAAAAAAAAAAAAAATTACCCATGTTAAATCATTGGGTGAATTTTGGTATGTTTACAGAGCTGTGTAACCACAATCTAATTTTAAAACATTTCATTGCCCTGCTAAAGAAGTTCTGTGTCCATTAGCAGACAGTCCCCGTTTCCCCTCAAAAGCCCCCAGCCCTAGGTGACCACTAATCTGCATTCTTTCTCTATAGATGAGCTTATTCTGGACATTTCTTACAAGAAATGGTGGGCTGATTTTTTTTTTTTTCTCCACTCATTTTTTTCCCCTAAATTTTATTTTGTTTTTATTGAACATACAGAGCAAAACATATACCAGTTCAGCACTTTCTACATGTACAATTCAGTGACATTGATTTCATTCCAGTTGTACAATCATTCCCACTCTTCTTTTCCGAGTTGTTCCTCCCTCATTAACTTAAACTCAGCACCCTCTAAGGTTTGTATCTATCTTTCGAGTTGAAGTTATCAGTTTGATCCTAAAAGAGCATAATGTTCAAGGCAGACCTTTCTTAATAATTAAGCTAAAAGTGTAACTCAGTTTTAAGATGAGTTCAGGGGATATATTTGGTTTAAGGTTTAAAGATTATTTCTGGGTAGTAGTTTAAAGTCTAGAGTCCATGAGAATTTGAAACTCAGTTCTGCATTTCCCTCCTTTTGATCAGGATTCTGCTATGGATCTTTGATCAAAATGTTCCGTAGTGGTAGCCAGGCACCATCCAATTCTTTTGGTGTCATGGAGGCAATTAAACCATACATTCCATGCGTTCCATGTCCTCCTCTTATTCCTGACTGTCCTCTTCCTCGGTTGCTCTAGGTAAATAGAGACCAACTGTTGTGTCTTGGATGTCTGCTTGCTACAAGCTTTTAAGACCCCAGGCACTATGCAGTGAACTAGAAGGTAGAACAAAAGCACTGGCTTGTTAGTCTGTTGTCACTAGTGCTGCAGTGAACATTGGTATATGAGTCTCTTGGGTATATATTTAGGACAAACTCTTGAGTCTTTTGGGTATATACCTAGGAGTGGAATTGCTGGGTCATATAGTACTTCCATTTTTAGTGTTTGGGGAACTGCCACACTATTTTCCACAGTGGCTGTACCATTTAGCACTCTTGCCAGTAATAGATAAGGGTTCCAGTTTCCCTACTTCCTCACCAACTTTCGTTATTTTCTTTCAATCTTAGTCATCCTAAACCAAAAAATACCCTTAGTACCATCAAGTCAATTCTGACTCCTAGTGAGCCCTACAGGATTTCCAAGGCTATAAATTTTTTATGGAAGTAGATGGCCTCATCTTCTCACAGAGCAGCTGGTTGGTTTGAACTGCTGACCTTCTGGTTAGCAGCCAAATGCCTTACTCACTGTGCCACCAGAGGTCCTGTGGGAGTGAAATGGTATCTCATGATGGTATTGATTTGCATTTCTCTGATGGGTAATGACTCTGAGCCATATGTGTTTGCTAGCCATTTAGATGTCTTTGGTGAAATGTCTATTCAAGTCCTTTGCTCATTTTATCATTGGATTATGTCTTTTTGTTTTAAGTTGTTAAAGTTGTGTATGTATTTTGGTCATTGCGTTCTTGTCAGTTACATGGTTTCTGAAGATACTCTCCCAGTCACTAGTTTGTCATTCCATATATATTTTTTTTTTTTTAGTAAAGTCTTTTGATGAACAAAAGTTTTTAATTTTTATGAAGTCCCATGTATTTATATTGTCCTTTGCCATTTGTGCTTTTATGATTATTTTTTAATGTTATTAGAAAATCCATTGTTGAAAGCTAGGCCTAGTACCATTGCCCCTGCTTGTTCTTCTAAAAATTTTATGATTTTAGTTTGCACATTTAAGTCTTTAATGCATTTTGAATTTATTTTGGTGTATAGTGTGAGGCAAGGATCCTGTTGTCATTTTTCTGCACATGGACATCTAATTTTCCCAGCATCATTTATTGAAAAGACTCTTCTTTCCCCATGAAATGGACTTTAGAACCCTTGTCAAAAATCAATTGACCATAGATGTGTAGTTTATTTCCTGACTCTCAATTCTATTCCATTGGTCTACGTGTCTATTGTTACACAAGGCTATTAGATTACTCTAGTAGTTTGTAATGTGTTTTAACACCAGGACGTGTGAGTTCTTCTACTTGGTTCTTTTCTTTCAGCATTGCTTTAGCTATTGAGGGCCTCTTGCCATCCCATATAAAGCTGAAGATTGTTTTTTCTATTTCTGTAAAGAAGGCAGTTGGGATTTTGATTGGGATTACGTTGACTCTGTAGATCACTTTGGGTAGTACTGACACCATAAAATACTGCTTTCCAATGCATGAACATGGAACATCTTTCCATTTATTTAAGGCTTCTTTAATCTCTTTGAATGGTATTTTATAACTTTATTGTGTAATTTCTTCACACCCCTCGTTGTGTTTATTCCTAGATATCTTACTCTCTTAGATGCTGTTGTAAAATAAATTGTTTCCCGATTTCCCTTTCAAGTTTCTCATTGCTGGTGTGTAGAAATCAGCTGATTTTTTTCATTTTTAAATGATTTTGGTGAAAGTTTACAGGGCAAATTGGTTTTATATTCAACAGTTCTTAAACATTCTGTTTTGTGACGTTGATTTGAATTGCCACAATGTAACGGCACTCTTCCTACATCTTCCCTGTGTTTCCCATTTCTAATAGTCATTTTTTCCTGTCCTTTCCTGCCTTCTGAGCTCTATCCCTGAGCAAATGGCTCCCCTTTTGATCTCATATAGTTGACTGAAGTAAGGAATGCATAGGTGCCTTCCTGGTATAATTCATCACCTTACAGACCTGTGTATTGTTTGGCTGAAAGTTGAGCCATGGGAGCAAGTTCAGTTCCAGGCTTGAAGGGTGCCTAAGAGCCATAGTCTCAGGATTCCACCAGTCTCTATTACAACAGTAAGCTTGGTCTTTTTTATGATTTTGAGTTTCATTCCACATTTTTTTCCCATTCTGTCCATGACCTTCTATTAGTGATCTCTTTCAGAGCAGTAGACAGTGGTAGACATCTAGTTCTTCTGATCATGGAGGTTGTGGTTCCTGTGTTCCATTAATTCTTTGGATTGGTTGTTTCCATGAGTCTTTCATTTTCTTCATTCTTCTTTGCTCCGGATGAGGAGAGACCAATAGGTATACTTTAGATGGCAGCTCATAAGCTTTTAAGACCCCAGTCGCTACTCATCAAAGTAAGATGTAGAACATTGTCTTTTTGGACTATGTTAAACTACTTGTCCCCTGAAATTATGGTTGTGAGCATCTAGGCCCAGCAACTGACTGCTGCAGGGTGTTTGATTATGGCTAAGAAGTTTTCTTATCTTTG